TCAGTTTGAATTCCCTTTTTAACACAATGTCAGCAATGGTTTTGTAGTGACAAGTGTGAACAGGGGGATCTAATATAGACTATAAGCCATAATCAGGACTGTGTGCAAAAATTAGCTGAAAACGTTGAGCTTTATCATTACTCATTGTAAAAAGAAAAAAAAATAAAGAAAAAACAGCTAAAAAACCCCAAGAATTTACAGTCTACTCGTTGCTGACTTTTTTTTTTCTTATTTTAAGAACATTCATGAAGATGAGGCTCAAACTATCTGCTCAGGACAGGACTCAGGAGAGAACTCCAGCTGAAAATAGCCTCAGCAGCTGCTTCAAGAGCAGGTTTTCAATCAGCAAGATGGTACAGGGCTAACCCAGGCAAACTCTCTCCTCCCATCTTCTTGGGCTGTCTCAGAACAGATCCTCTTTTCCTGAGATGCAGAGCCAACATCTCAAGTGCTGGGTGAGGAAGAGGAGGGAAAGGGCAGTGGTGAAGGCATCTCCTATATTCTTGTAGGTCCAGCTGTTGACACAATGACTGGGATGAGTCTAAGCTGTAAATTATGGTACTGAACACAAGATCTTATTTTAGAAGAACAGGGAAATAAGCAATTATGGTGGGGAGAGAGATACAGGATAAAAAGGGATTTACAGAAGAGGATAAGGTGGGGGAAAGAGGGACTGCAGAAGGGAAAAAGCCAGGAAGGGTCAGACAACAGGGTCTGAGTGGGGAGAGGCTCTCCCTAGACATCAAAGACAATAGAGACCTGTTCAGCCTCGCCTAGGAGGTGGTGGGACTTCAGCAATGAGACCCAAGCACACCGGGGATGCTCCCTCCAGGACTGAAGTGAACATTAAATATTCGATCTGGGCAACACCTGGAAGACGGGTCTGGATCTAAACCCACTAACACTCCTGGAAATGTGCCCCAAATTGCCAGCTGTATTCACTGCTCTTTTCTTAGAGCCCCAGAGGAGAAGCCATTTTTGAAGTGCAAGTGGTCTCCTGGTTAGTGACACTGAAGAGGGGGGGCAGAGGAGGAAGTTCACCATGCCATGATGTGAGCAGAATCACACTGGCTTGCAAGGAAGCGTCCTCAGCCTCACAGCTGAACGGGGAGAAAACCAGGGCATTGTTAAAAACCATTCCTTTGTGGGACATTCCTTTGTGTTTACTTCTCCGCAACACTTTTTAAAGGCCACTCGTATAATGTTGGAACAAGAATGGGAAATGCCTTGTCTCAGACTTCCTGTTGTCAAAGTGAAAAATAATCCAATATCCTCCCGCGGTGCTGGCCGGGGCCCAAAAGGCACTTTGCCCAAGGGGCTGGAACTCTGCCCCTGTCCGGGGGCACCGCGCCTGCCCAGCCGGCTCCCACCTTGGTTTGAATTCAGCTAGCCGGAGGGATGGAGAGAGGAAGAGGCGGGTGCTGCCCTGAGTTGAAGTCCAAAGAGCATTGTTTTCTTGTTATGAGCAGTGTAGTCATCGCAGATAATTATCATCTGACATCTCAATTAGTTTTGGTGTTTTTTGTTTGTTTGTTTGTTTTTTTCAACTGCACAAAGGCACTGAAGACAGAGACTCCTTGTTGACAACCCAGGAGACGTCTGTTGTTCTTCCTGACTGTGTATTTCATCTTATGGGGATTCTAGGGTATTGCTGTGGAAATGCCAGATATTAAAACCTCATTATACTTCTGTTTGCAAAACAGATCTTAATCACTTGCCATCCTAGACAATTACCCTGGCAGGCAAATCCTGGAAAAATTAACAGCCAAAAAGGATGAAAAATATTTTCTTCTGCTTTGTTGAAGCAGCAAAATCTGCATGCAAATTCACTTAGTCAGCCAAATTACCCTGCTAACACAGCCCTGTTCCCAAGGAGGCACTTTTCCAATTTTCTGAAGTGAAGCTACTCATGTCTCTTAAACTTTGTTCTAACTGTAGCTATGGTATAAAATTAAACGTTTTTCTGCAACTTGTACCAGCATATAGAGCTTGGATAGCAAGCAAGGAGATGCACTCCATCCTTACCCTCAGTTGCCTTTCCTGCATACATCACTTGAGAAGTGGAAGTGCAAAGCCCTGCTGGTCCTGGGTGGTGAGAATTCAGTGCAGAAACGTCTTGACATTAAGAATTCACAAGTAAATGCTGATGATTTCTGATACCTTCCTGTCCAACAGAAAAAAAAAAAAAAAGTCTCAGGCACTTCAGCTGGAGCTACTGAGTGATTCTCACTTCCAAAACTGAAACTGTTAACGTAGTAGGACTACCATTGATTTACTGGGAAAAATAAATAAATAAATAATTAATTATGTCTAATAGAATTGTCTCTGTTTCATGGGTATCTTGGTCATGGTATTTCTGTCCTTATGTGAGTCTGAATTCCTTAGAGTCTCTGGTACCCCTTGTGATCACTCACAAGTCTCCTAATTGTCAGTCAGGTCTATGCTTAAAGCAAAGCCCCTCTCAAGATGTTCAGGAAGTATTGCTATTATGGCAGTTACTTGACTAAATGATGAACATTACTGGAATATTTACTTGCCTTGAAGAATAATAGTTTCTTTTGCTGTTTCCACCCCTGTGGAGAGTAGTCATTCCTTTACTCCGGGTAATTGTTTTCTGAAGAGCTGGGAAAAAAATGGTCTGTGTGCTGCTGCTCGCAGCCAGTGCTAAGGCATCAGGTAATTCCCAAGTTTAGCAGCAGAGTCCCCCTCCAGGTCACCTCATCCTTGCATCTCTGAAAGGGCCGTGCAATAAGCTACATGCACCCAACACAGCATCTGTAATACCTGAAAACTAAGGGTGCAGAACTTCCCCCCACCCCCCAGGGCCGGGGCATACAGAGGCTGTGAGTAGTTCTGCTTTAGTGGCGTTTGCATATTGTATTTTAAGACTAATGGAGGGATGAGATGAGGACAGTGATGTAATCCTAGGTAAACTGGCTTCTCGCCTTGTCGAGGCAACAGTTCAGCATGCCACAGACCTCCATGAATTAGGAAACGTATGAGAGGTCACTGCTCTCCTGTAGTGTGATTTTCTAAAAATGCAAAAAAAAAATGTACATTACAAATTGCTGAATCCCATGCTTCATGTCCCAGCTCTCAGTGGCCAATAGATGTTTATTTACTTTTTCCATAAAAGTTTAGTACTTGAATTGAAAGTTGTGCACAGGTTTGAATGTTCCAAGATCTCTTGTGGTCGCTAAAGCCCCTCGGCAGGAAAAACCCGGCCAAGCAGCCCCTGCAAAGCCCCATTCAGTGGTTTAGTGGTGCTCCCGGGTCACTTAATGATAATCAGACCTAATGGCCGTGATTTCCAAAGCGCTCAGCATTATTGTGCATTCCTTTTCAGTCTTTCTTCCTTGAATACACATGCTGCGTTTTACATTTGCTCCCCTTGTCAATCACACAGACCCTGAAGGGCCCAGGGAACCAGCCGGTGTGTAAGGAGGAGGTTTGGCTGAGTCACCTTGAGGATAAGAAGACAAAAGACGGGAGGGTCAGCTCAGCCCTGTCACTCTCCCTCCCACTTTCCAGTCTTCAGTACAGCCCTTCTCTCCTCCCTGCCTCGGTTCTTCAGGCCACAAAAGTTTTTCCCTATCTTTATGTGGAACCTCATGTGCTCCAGCTTGCAGCTGTTGCTCCCCATCCTATCATTGGACACCACTGAGAAGAGCCGGCTCTGTCCTCCCGACACCCGCCCTTTCCGTAGTTACAGACATTAAGGAGGTTGCCCTTCAGTCTCCTCCAAGCTAAAGAGGCCCAGCTCCCTCAGCCCTTCCTCATAAGGGAGATGTTCCACTCCCTTAATCATTTTTGTGGCTCCGTGCTGGACTCTTTCAAGCAGTTTTCCATCCTGCATGACCTGAGGAGCCCAATATTCACCATCAGACCTGACCTTACCGATCACGACCAATGGACCTGACACTACCAATATTGACCACTTTCACCTGACCTTACTGATCTTGACTGTGGGACCCGACCATACTGATCAAATATGCAGTTCTGAGTGTTTCTCTCAAGACTATTTGTGTTCTCTTCCATGTGTTTACGCTGCAGTAGCATAAAATGGTATAAAATGAATGATGATTCCATCCAGCGTGCAGATCTCAAAACAGTTCTGAATCAGCAAGCTTATGTCCTTTTTTATATCAGGTAATAGCAAATACCAAAGGGGCTCAGAAGGTATTTACTTTCCTGTTATTGATGCTTTTCTTCTTTTCTCTGGGAGCTGCGGGAGGTTTCAGATTGCTGAAGGGAATGTCCAGAATTTTCCAGTAGCCACTAATGTTTTACAGGCGTTTTAGTCTCTAACCTTCATCTTTTAGATGGTTTTTCAAGTGAAAAACGTCTTTTTCTTTTGTGCAGTGTCCCTGGACCTCCAGGCTCCTCTGACCACTCAGGATCTGGCACAGCAGGGAAGTCCTGTTGTGGAAAGGTGAGACAACAGATTTATGAAGGGATCGTCTTCCAGATTTTTCCAGCAGCCACCACATTTTTCACCTATGGGGATTTTTTTTTTCCCTCAACATCTTTTAGATGGACATTTTCATGTGAAAAAAAAAAAAAAAAAGTGTATTTTTTTGAGCAGCGTCCTGGGCCTACAGAGTGTTCCGAGAATTGTGCTCATACTGCTACGAAAGGAGCGTACAACTCTGAAAACACTGATGATGTTGGGAAACAGGTGACGTTAGGGAATTTTCCTCTTGTTGGGAAGACCGGCGTCCCTCCCTCCCTCGCGGTTTCCCCGCTTTGCGGCCGGGCCGAGCCCTTCCCCTCCCGCCTCTGCCTGAAGCGGCCGCACGAGGTGCTTGAGCTGCCGCCCGTGTCTCTGCCAGGCCAGGCCGAGGGGCCGCTCCCTCAGGAAACCGCTCCGGAGAGGGGAGGATGGGGCATCCTCTCCCTCCCTGACGTTTCCCTTCGGGTTTTAGTCGCGGTTTTTCCGCTTTCCAAAGGGTCCTCGGGCACGACCCTCCGCCCCGCAGCCCCTCACGGCTGTGCCTAAGATGGCGGCGGCACGAGGTGCCTCAGGGCCGCCTCTCGCTCCCGCGCGGCCTTCCCGCCTCACCAGGGCCTCGGCACCGTCTGCTCTGCAGAACCGAGGGCAAAGCTGCTGTAAAAGCTGCTAATGTTTGCAGGCAGTAACCACAGGCTGGTAACTGTAGTCTAAGGACAGTCAGGATCACAGGTATGGCTTCTTTCTTTCTAAGTAAGGATAAAGTTCCTGTGTGACAGGAGACCTCACTCACAGAGCTAATTCTGTAGAAAACGGCCTGTGCAGCTCATCTTATTAAATGTTATTGCCAATAGGTTCTTCTAAGTGAACCAAAAGTCTTCATTTAATCCCAGTCTGTGTTTCTAGAAGTGTTTTTCTCAGGCTATTCTGTCAAGTGTTTCAGGATATTTTTTAATCTCTCCTTAGGCAGTAAAATATCCTGCATGTTTGGACCTGCAGGCACATGATGTGTCTGAATCAAGTGACGAACCCGTCACCTACACATTACATGCAGTGCTTCTTCATAAAGGCTTCAGACACCGCATCTCCTACATAAAGGCAGATACCGGCTTGATTTCTAACCGAGTAAAGCAGAGCTGACAAAGACATTGCAATGTTCCTGGGGAACACTGTTTTTAGGAGAAAAGGAGAGGGGGCTCTTGCCACTGCCGAGTGCAGACATGTGTGCAGGAGCTGTGCCTGTCCCTGCAAGCAGCCTTGGGCTGTCAAGCCCTTGTCAGGAACCAGGACCCTCCTGGAAGGCAGAGCAGGGCTGACCGAGCTGCACCTTCAAGTTAGCACCGCTAACGAAGCACAACTTTTCACCTTGACACTCCTCAGTACCACGGACTCCGGCGCATCACTGTTGGCTTCGAGAGAGCTGAGCAATGGAAAGGACTGTCCCTTACAGTCCAGAGGAGACTGGAAACCCTTTCCACTCCGCCCCGGGGCTGCGGCTCCAAAAAGCCCCACGGAGCCCCTTGCCGGCCTGTTCTGCCGCCGATCCGCTGGGCAGTGCAGGCTTCCCTGCATCTGACTTGAAATACGTTAAAAAATCAAACCACTGAGACACAGGTTTATGTGGGATGCCATGACAGGGACTGACAATGCCCTTTTGTCTCAGATGTGGACATGACTGATGAAGCCTTCAAACTAAACCCAACAACTTTTCATCATCAAAACCATCAGCTTTTTATTACCAAAACCTGACATTACCGATCTGGACCGTCGGACCCGACCATACCGATTGTGTTGCTCCCAGTGTGGAATTAGGGGCTTTACCTTAGGAATGGTAGGTGTGCTTCTCACAGAAAAGCATCGCAGGGAAATCTGGCAGAGCAGCTTAAGTTACTGGGGGAACATCAGTGCGACCACAGGAAGATCTGCCACAAAGTAAAACAAACAAACATTTTATCTTGTGCGGGGGGGTCTTGTTGCATCAGGTAATCGATGTTTGAGCTGCCGGTTCCCCAGAAAAAGAAGGATGTCTATTCGTGGTTTCAGTTTCAGCTGTTGCTTCACAGGTCCGGGAAATCGCCTCTAAGAATGCTGGAAAAATACGGAAATTTCCTGTACGTCCGAAGTTTGTTACCAAGCAAAGGAATGAATCCTGCTTGCTTAACTCCCTAGGGCTGTGTCTTACAGGAAGGTGTCACCCTCCTGGATTTCCCGTTCAAAAACGTCCAGTGCATGTGAATGGATTTGGTGTGTTCTCACGTGCAAAGCCTCAACTCACGCCAGCCCTGTCATCTTATCCTTTCCTAGTAACTTAGTGTTGCTTAAACCACAACAAATCTACATCAGAGGGGTTTTGCGGTATAGAAAGCAGATTAACCCAGTCATCAAATCTCACTGCTGCTGGCGAGTGGACGAGCAGGCAGGAATGAGTTGGATCCTGCGGGCAAACACCGCTCCCCATCCGTGCTTAGCGCAGGGTCTGCAGGCTCCGG